TTCCCTGTCTGTTTCTGGCAAGCACACATGCCTCATGGCAGAAGCCTAAAAGAAAAACCTAAAAAAAGGAAGAAAGAAAATTATAATAACTGAAATGAAAAATTCACTGGCAGTAAGGCTCAACAACAGAATTGAGACAAAGAAAAAGAAATCACAAACTCAGAGTTAAGTGAATTGGGGTTATTCAGTCTGAGGAACAAAGAATATTGAATGAATAATAAAAAAGAATAGTTTCACAGAGACCTGTAAGATGTCATCAGTTGTACCAAAATACAAATAATGAAAGCTCTAAAAGGAGAGAGAGAGAGAAGGCACAGGAAATAATAGTGGCTAAAAACTGACTAACTTTGATGAAAGATATTAAGCTTCTAAGAAGCTCAATAAACTCCAGGTATGAGAGATTCAAAGAAACTCTTACCTAGACACATTGCAATCAAAATATTAAAAGACAGAGAGAGGGACCAGCAGTTAGCGTAATGGCTATGTCGCTGGACTCCCATGTAGTCAACCGCGGTTTGCTTCCCGGACCCGGTGGCTTAAAACTCACGCCAGACACGTGTGTGTGCGTGCCCAAGATCCCAAGAGGAGAATGGAGGAGAAGGGATTGCAGTGTGGCCATCCCCCCTGGGGGATGATTTCTCGCTTTCTGTCTCTCTCTGTCTGGCGAGCATACGCGCCCTATAGCAAAAACCTCTCCAAAAAAAAGAGAGGAGGGACCAGCAGATGGCATAATGACTATGTTGGTGGACTTCCACGTAGTTGACTATGGTTCAAGTCCCAGACCCAGTGGCTTAAATCTCATGCTGGGCGTATGTGTGTGTGTGCCCAAAATCCTGAGAGGAAAATGGAGAAGAGGGGACTGTGATGTGGCCATCTCCACCTCCCCCCATGCCCCCAGCTGAGGTGGGAATAATTTCTCACTTTCTGTCTCTCTATCTCTCTCTGTCTCTCTGAAGAGTACATGCACCCTATAGCAAAAATCTATTTAAAAAAAAAAAAGACAAAGGGAGATTCTTGAAAGCAGTAACATAGTGGTGACTCACTTTGTGCAAAGCGTCCTTGGTAAGATTAGTAGCTGATTTTTCATCAGAAGTGTGGAAAGTGGGGACTGACCAGCAGGCAGGTGGCCAATGAGACTTTTTTTTTAATAGACCATAGGTTAGTTTATTTTTAACACCCATCATGCCATGATTTCATAGTGAATATCTTCCAGTAGCTCAGGCTCCTTTCCATGGTTCTCACAAAGCGTGCTTCTCTGGGTAGAGCAGGCTGGCGCTTCAGTTGAAGCCAGGTCCCTCCCTCTCTTTGGCTTCATTCTTTTCCTGGTCATTTTCCTTCACACATTTTAGGAAGTTGTCTCTGCTCTTAGAATGCTTAATATACTCAGTATGCACATTAATTCTCTTGGCAAGAATCTTGCCCTTAACTTGTTTGTTCCCAGTGATGCCAACAGCATGCCGGGCAGCATCATAGACTTCCAGTTTTGCCATGGTAACATTTGTGGGGCATTCCTTTTGAACAGTACCCATTCCCTTGATGTCTACAATACCACCTTTCTTGTAGATTGGCATGTATGTTGCCAAAGGAACCACTCCATGTTTTCTAAGAGGCCTAGAGAACATATATTGGGTGTCCCTTTGTGTTCATTGTTTTGGTTAATTACAGGAAGATGGCGGTTCCAGCCAAAAGGGCAATGAGATTTTTTAAAAGCCCTGGTTTAGGGACTAGACATACCTAGCACTTGTCTCCTCAGAAAAGAGGGAACAAAACAAATAAATATGCTTTGCATGGAGCCAGAACACAGGAATCCACCAAGGAAATGATTGAGGTCTCATGATGCCTAAGACTTGAGACACTAGCATACAGAAATCAGCCACCTACCCAAGATCATCCTGAAACCAGGAGAAACTCCCCATTGTTAGGAAATGGTGAAAGTGAAAGACAACCCCCATTATCACTGTGCACAACTATAGTTCTGTCTGCTGGAGGACTCAGTGGTGGCCATGGGCCATGGGCCCTAGGCCCTAGGTAGTAGAGAATTCCTTTCAGTCCACTTGGCTGCGTAGTTCCAGGGAAAGAACTTGCACACAGTAACTTCCGGTCTCCAGGACCCAAGTTGCTAAAGAATGGCACTATTTTGAGAACAGAGCCTCAGATAGAGCAAAACCTGCCCTTAGGGCCAATAGCCAGCCCCATGTCCACATTCCTAAGACCACACCAGCATCCACCATATCTCTACCCACATGGGCAGTTGCAGATGCCTCAGCCAGACTGAGCAGTCAAGCCTGACCCCAGCCTGTTTAGGTCAGGACACTCCAGGATATTGACTGTCCTTCATAACAGGAAGGCACTCCCCAAGCCTGGGTGATCTGACGAGTATACACCCCAGAGACTCTGGGCTAGCAGTCCTAGTCCCTGTTGCTAGCAACCAACTGATCTACCTGCTCAGCAACCCCCTCACCAGGCAAAGTTGTGCCCTACTACCCCAAACACTCATAGTCTAGGTCACTGAGGCGCCCTCAGACACCACTAACTTTTATTAAAGCCAGGGAAATCACACAGAGACTAACCAACCATGCCTACCCATAACCCAAACCCAAACATCCTGCCTTGCATCCTCAGCAAGAAGTTTCCCTAAGAAAGCTCCATATGATCAGAAGAGGTGTGGAGCCAGCAGGTGGTGTAGTGGTTATGGTTCTGGACCACTGTTCAAAGTCTGGACCCAGTGCGTTGAAATTCATGCCAGGCATGTGTGCGTGCATGCCCCAAATCCTGAAAGAAGAATGGAGGAGAAGGGATTGCAATGTGGCCACTCCTAAGGGGTGATTTCTCACTGTCTTCCCCCGTCTCTCTCTCTGTCTCCAGCGAGTACACGTGCCCTATAGCAAAAATCTCTCTTAAAAAACAATAAAAACCAGAAGAGAGCTGTCCCACCAGATGATCAGATATCAGTGTAGGAACACAAGAAACAAAGAAGCTAGGAAACATGTTGCCTCCAAAGGAACACAGTAGTTATTCATAATAGACCCCATAAAAAAGCAGATCTCTAAAATGCCTGAAAATGAATTCAAAGTAGTGATCCTAAGGAAACTCAATGAGACATAAAAAATTATGTCAATTCAAAAATTTTTTTTCAAAATTCATTACCTTATTTTCTAAGTACTTACATATCAACTATTAATCTATACTGTAGATTTATTAATTTGTGGTCAAACTAATTTCAGAACAAACTTTTGCCTTCTTTTAAAAATGTTCCCTTAACTCTTCTTGACATCTCTATTATAATTACTAATTTCTGGAAGATTATTGAAGTCATTTCTAGAGGTTCTTAAATTTCTGTGCAGATGAAAATATACTTAAAAGGTCTTCCAGTACCCTTTTATTCTTCTCTTAGAGATTCATAAAAACATGCTAACATTTTTGGTAAGCTGTGTGGAGCAAGAAAATATACAGGAACTGTGAGATAGTGCCAGGAGCAGAAAAGATAGACTTGGACATTAATCCCTTTGTTTCCATGCTGTCTAGAAAGTCAGTCTTCCCATTCGAAAATGAGTAGAGTATGTTTTGCTTTAGATGTAACTTTTAACTTCTGTTCTCTTTTAATGCATATATTACCGTCTGAATTTTGACCAAGTAATCCTTTGTAGACTTGTTTCTGTTGGTCTTTGCCAGGAAATAGGTTTTACTATAAACATGTTTGCTGGAAAATTAACACCAAGTAGTTCTACTTCCAACTTAGCAAATTTAAGAATGCTAAGGTGTTCTAGATGTTGATCTCATTCACTATATAATACTTCGTATCTTTAAAAGGTTGAATTGCAGTTTTTGTTTTATTCAGGTAACTTAAGGTTGTGGCATGGAATCTCCTTGAACAGACTGACTTCTGTTTACCATGTCTCACACTTGGTTCTGCCGCGTTTTCAGTTTAGGTATCCACTGTAGATTGGTTTTCATATTTTAGTGATGTTCAAGCTTAAAAAATGAATTAGTGCTGTTGTCTGCATTTTGCAAAGGAAACACAACAGAATGACACAATCGCACCCACCAGAAACTGAGTGGGTGTGATTCTGCCCAACTCAGTGTCCTCCCCACTACACAGCTTTAGCTGCCAGGCACGTGACAGGCTAACTCGCCTCTCTGTAGAGCCTTAAGGTTCCCTGGAGTCCCATTTTAAATTACTGCTCTTTCTCAAATTAGTAATAGTTAAATTAGTTAGAAATAGTTAAAATTAGTAATAGTTATGAGACCATGTTTTTCCAGAATGTCCCTAATACTTTCAGAAGTGATATTATGTAATAAAATATGTATATGCTTTTTGTGGCCTTTCTTGTATTATTTTTAATAAGACTCACAATTTCTTTACTAAAATGTTTAGCAAAAGGTCTAGTTGCTGGAATTTTTTTCTAGTATATACAATAACACAATCTTGAAGAACATGATACAGTCCCTAAGGATTGGAAATATTTTTATTCATAAGTACTAAAGAACTGTAAATTGAAATTCTTACAATATATTTTGAAAATAGTAGAAATGGCACTCATGGTTTCATTAAAAAGAAATGTAGAGTATTTTAATTAGTAATCTTTATTTTCTTTAGGGTTTAATGAAGAAATTCATTCGATGTTCTACACGTGTAACTGTGGGAACTATTAAAAAATTTCTAAGTTTAAAACTAAAACTTCCAAGTTCTTATGAGGTAAGTAAAATAATATCTAACTTTGATCATTTTGGTAATTCTGATCTGACTAAGATTCTAACAAAGGAAATGAAAATAAACAGAATATATTCAACTTATTTTTTGTGGAAACTGATTATTTTTATGTTAAAAGTTAACTTCAAAAATATAATATTCTATGTACATAAAGTATATTTTATAATTTAACATGGTCAAGTAAAACCTGACACTAATTAATGCATTAAGTGTTTTGTGACTAGAGGGTAGTATTATTTTTTTTTTTGAGAGGTTTTTGCTATAGGGTGCATGCACTTGCCCGAAAGATAGAGAGACAGAAAGTGAGAAGTCACCCTCTGGGGGGATGGCCACACCACAATCCCTTCGCCTACATGCTCCTCTCTGGATTTTGGGCACACATGCACACACACCCAACATGAGTTTTAAGCTACCAGGTCTGGGACTTGAACAACAGTTGACTACATGGGAGTCTAGCAGCATAACCATTATGCCATCTGCTGCTCCTGAGCAACAACATTCTTTAGGATATGTCATTTTTTATCAGAGACATTTGAGATCCATTAGTAGCAATTTTTATAGACTCCTTCAGCATATAAAACATTGTTTTTATCAAAAAGGTTTTCATAAATGTTCCTATAGTTCCATGACAGGCAAAAGTAATATTATTTAACATTGGGTAAAACCAATATAACTTCTCTACATAAATTTACAAATTTATTTATTGAAGAAGTAAATTGCCCTGTTATTGATTATAGAATAACTAATAATGCATTCAGTGTTTAGAGAATGTTTATTGATCCTAGGGATACAACTATAACCTAGTGAGGAAACATGGCTGCCATTTCTCACCTGCCCAAACAATCGTCTTACAATTTTTCTTTTAATTTTTGCCAGAGGGTATGTGTGCTGCCCAAGGAGAGAGAGAGAGAGAGGGAAGGAAAGAGCGAGAAAGCCCCTCCGTGGATAGTCATGCTACAATCCCTTCTCCTCCATTTCTTCCTCCTTTGGGGATTTTGGACATACACATACATGTGCCCAGTGTGTCTTTCAAGCCAAGGGGCCTGACACTCAAATCATGCATTTGGTCATGTGGGATCTAGTTGCCTCAACCACCATGTTATTGGCTAGTCCTGTAGTCTTACAACTTTTATTAACTTCCTTTTTACCCTTTGGATTCTGCCAGTAAAATCTAGAAAACCGAAGAGTAGGACTAGTTTCCTACATAAACAAACATGGTGCTCTTCTAATCTCCCCCCCCTCCAAACAAAAAGGTGAAGAGAAAGTGCTGGGAACTAGCAGCTATTTTCGATACAATGAACACAGCAGGTGACATCTGAGCATTTAATAAAAAGTTAGTCTTCTTTTTAAGTAATTGATAATGCTTCTATTTTGTTATAACTTTTAATATTTTTTGAAATTTGGAAAAAGTGTAAAATGTTTTGAATTCAAAATTACTTTCATTAATAGATCTGTAACTCTTCTTTTTAAAGTTGGATGTGCTGTGCAATGGTGAAATTATGGGGAAGGATCACACTATGGAATTTATCTACATGACAAGATGGCGACTAAGAGGCGAAAACGTAAATGGCTTTTATATTTCCCTATGTGTACATTTAGTAATATTCCACTGTATTACTCAAATTTAGCAATACTACTAAGGAACAGTAAACACTAGTTTGAGAAGAAGAAGCTTGTTCCTCTTAGTATTTCTAACTCCTCTGAAAATTGGTTCCAAGCACAAGACCAAGGTTTATGTTAAATGTGGTTCTGTTGTACTTAAGATGAGTCAAAAACTCCATTCTATATATGTTCAGAACCGCTAACTTCAAGGCAGAAAAGATGACACATTATCTTTTAAAACCCAGTAAATTATGAAAACTAGCAACTACATGGAGTAGAGTCTGGGCAGACTAAGTTCTGCCCTGACTAGGGTAGTTAATGGCTGAAAAAGTATTTAGTTTGGGTTTGGTGAGGGAGCAGACAGGGTAGAATCTAGGTAACCTTTTTTCCAGGTACCCCCTTTATACTGAAAGCATAAAGTGAGACCTAAGGGTGAGTGAGTGTATGTGGTTTCTGATGTCAGAATTAGATTCTTGTGCCATGGGCTCTAGGCAACATCATTTCTAGGAGAAGTGATTGAAAATAGAAAACCCAAAAGAAGTATTTTGTATTTTGAACTGTATTTTTCATCAGAGTTCATTCTAGGTTCAAGCGTAACCAAGTTATAAGTAACATGGAGTATTAGGAAATGAGGCACCAGGGATCGCAAGGCCGATATATAGCAGTAAGGAATATGGCGGTCGTGCTCCCATTCTCTTCCTAATTGGAGTGGATAGATAAGGGTTAAGATTGATTAGAAGGCTGTATGGGATAACCGCCAAAGTTATCTTTCAGACACTAATCCTGTGGAGTATATGTCATAATTTTATAGTCTGTGTAATTCAGTCTCACTATTCTGTCAACTAGGTTTCATTACATTTCTCATGAAAAATGGTAAATTAATTATAAAAAAACCCACGAAATTTAGAAATTTAACCTCACACAGGATAGGGTAAGATTTGGGGCCATTTTTCGGAAGAACTGTCTTGATATGATATACTAAGAAAGGAAGCACCTAACTGCTTAAATCAGAATTTTTTTCCTGCAAGTTCTCCTTAAATAAAATCCTCCTGTTAGGCTGAATGCTCTAACAAGCAGCAGAAAGAGCTCAGGACCAGAGATTTAGAAGTACGTTCTAGTGCCATCCACCAACTAGTTGTGTGCCCTTGGAGAATTCATCAAACCTCTTTGAGGCTTACTTTTTTTAAAAATCTAAGTGTACTAGGTAAATTATTACTTAACTTCCTATGAGTTTATAGTTTCTCTCATGGTTGTACGTACATCAGCCCCTTTCATTCCTCACAACCAGAACGTTTCAAGAACCAGGCGCAGGTTGCAGTAAATTGTCTTTCCCGACACTGGAGAGTGGTTATTGTGGTATTACACAGAGTTCTTTATCAGATGCAGTTTTAGCGTTCTTCAGTAGGTTAGTGGGCATTCCAGTGTGTTTTGGAGTTTGAAATCGTCGTGAGGATGTGTTCGCCTTAAGGTTAGAGAGACAGACAGTGTCACCCGCTATAAGACCACTGTGAGTTCTCTCCTGTCCTTCACAGGAACCCCTCCCAGAGCTGCCCACACCGCCAGCTGTTTTCATGCGCAGTATGAAAGAGCTAATTCTTAGACATTTATTTATAGGCTTATCAGTGAAGTCAGTCTTACTGTAATTAATTTCTAAATTCCTGGGTTGTTGAAAGCATATTTTAAGAAAAGTTAAAAAGTGGTTCAGTGCCTTCAGATTCGCCATCCAGATGGAAATTAAGCCAACAAACAGGAAAACTACCACCTTTTACCTTTAGGGCAGCAGCAAATAACCTACCAGCCCATTTCATTGTTTCCGTGAGACACCCATATTTTCAGTGGTTCTCCTTTTCCAGACCTGTTTCCCCTCATTCTTCACACTGAATAGTTCCTCCATAGCCAGCTCCATTTTCCAGTTGCTCAGACCCAAATCCTGGTTAACCCTGATTACTTCCTTTTCCTATCATCCTGGTCTATCACAATAAGAATCCCGCGGTTTCCCCGCACACCTGCACTGGGCCGGAGTGGCCGCACCGCCCCAGCCATCTCCAGAGTCTCCCGCCTGGCCGCATGCTGCCCGCTCGCTCCGCCTGCTCACGTCACTCAGCACAGCAGCCAGGGATGCCCTTCCAGCGGCCAGCACACGCCAGCCTCTGCCTCGATGGCTCTGGTGGTGTTCACTATCACTTAGATAAAACCCCAAGTCCTGGGATGCTCCATGTGGCCCCACGGAGTATACCCCTGACCTCCCCCATTTACTCAGGCTCACAGCGCACTGACCTCCACCGCCTGCCCCTGATCGCCCACCCAACCACCGCTCCCTTTACCCCCACTGGAGTAACTGGGGTTTCTGTTACCTTTCTGAGAGATGCCTCTAACCTCCCTTAAAATTACAGTCCCCTCCAGTAGCATTCTCAGTCCATTTAAATGTCTTACTGTTCCCGTAGAATGTCATACCATCTGATCGACCTTTTATTTGTATTTCTACTGTTTGTCTCCCAAATAAAATGTAATCAGAGGACAGGAATTTTTGTTTCTTCATGGCTGAATTTTCAGCTGCTTGAACAGTACCAAGCACAGATTCGCAGTAAATACTTGTTCAATGAGTATTTACTGAAATACAATGAACATCGTGGCTTTTATTTTGAACTCTGTTATTTAATTTCTGTTAAGCAAAGTTTACATTTTTGCTCACATTACAATTAAGTGTGAATTATTATAATATTAATAGATGAATCCATGGGTCCAGCAGGTGTGTAATGATTACATCGCTGGACTCCCACGTAATTGACCGTGGTTTGAGTCCTGGACTCGGTGACTTGAAACACACTCCGGACATGTGTGCATGCGTGCCCAGAATCCCAAGAGGAGAATGGAGGAGAAGGGATTGTGGTGTGGCCATCCCCCTTGGGGGATGATTTTTTCACTTTGTCTTTTGTCTCTCTGGCAAGTGCACGTGCCCTATAGCAAAAATCTCTCTCAAAAAAAATAAAAAAATAAAAAGGTAGATGAATCCTGACAGTTGGAGTGACGTAGACAGGTGCATCCATAGCAACAGAACACACGTCTTGATTTAGCACCTGATAGCATGTCTGTTGCTGTCACATCCCTTCCCATCTCTTCTCCTCATGGCCAGCAAGGTGCCAGGATGTTGGGAATTGCCCCACAGGCCGCAGTGCTCACTGGCTCTCTCTTGGACTGGGGCTGCTTGTTTCCTAAACTAATGGTCACCCTGTGGCTCTTTGACTTGCTTCTAGTCCTTTTTTATATTAAACATTTTAATTCACCTGTAATTATTTACACACACACAGTAGGTTAGGGCTCTTAGTTTTTTTCTTTAACTTAGTGAATAGTTCATACTTAGCCTCATTGTTCTGCAATATTACCATTACCTGTGCATGTGAATGAATGTATCTAATATATGCATATACACAGATATAGATAGGCAGATTCTCTATATTAGGATAGGTAAATTGATTGATTGATTTTTCCTGGACATTCTGTTTTGCTCTTTTAAGCAGGCCTTATTCTATACCAGCATTACATATTTATATAGCTTTTATAAACATAGGATGATATAATATTTAAAATTATCTGTCCATTTTCTTTGGTATAAGTTGGAGTAAGCCCAAATTAACATGTATTATAAAGCAAACAGTTGAACCTTCTAGGTTGCTTTTTATGATGTGTATTATTTCTAAATCGGGTAGGCTTGCTTTCCCCTTTATTCTTCCAGCACTAGTAGGGATGTGACCGGCACTGAGTGACACTAACAGTTGACTTTGGCAGCATTTGGCATCACTGCAGCTTTCTCATTCTGCTCCATGCTGCAGTACATCTCTTCACGTGTTTTACTCTCTTCTGGGTCTTTGAGTAAACCTGTAGACTTCCTTCTTCTGCATATGGGTACCACTTTCCGCCCTGTGACGCTTTTGACTCAGAGAGGCTACTCCATCCTGTTCAGATACTCCTTCCCTTTGTCTTGGTTCTCACCTCTTAGGGAGACTCTCACAGAGAGTGAGGACCTCCTGTTCTCAAGCGTCGTGAGCACATTCCTGCACCACCAGCTTGGCGCCCCACTTGTAGCTTGGGGCAGCCCCTTCTGCTTCCATCTCTGTTTTCATGCCCTTCCTGAGCCCTCATGTCCATTATGATGTACTTTTGAAAACTTTAATCTTCAGGAATCTAAACAAACACCTGGTCAAACGCAGCTGGCTCTTAGAAACATTTCAGCTCATAACAAAATTGCCACCTCAGCATTCTTAATTAAGCTCAAGGTATTTGTATTTTGCTTATAGTGAGAGAAGATGTACTTAAAAAAACAGCATTCTTTTCTTTTCTTTTTTTTTTTTTTTTGAGACGTTTTTGCTATAGGTCATGTGTGCACTCCAGAAAGACAGAGACAGAAAGCGAGAAATCACCCCCCAGGGGGGATGGTCACGCCGCAGTCCCTTCTCCTCCATTCCCCTCTCGGGATCCTGGGCACACACGCACACGCGCCCGGCATGAATTTTAAGCCACCGGGTCCAGGAAGCGAACTGCGGTCGCCTACATGGGAGTCCAGCGACATAGCCATTACGCTAACTGCTGGTTCCCAAAAAGACAGTATTTCTTTTTTTTTTTTTTGAGAGGTTTTCGCTATAGGGCGGGTGCGCTCGCCAGACAGACAGAGAGAGACATAGAGACAGAAAGCGAGAAATCACCCCCCAGGGGGGATGGTCACGCCGCAGTCCCTTCTCCTCCATTCCCCTCTCGGGATCCTGGGCACACACGCACACGCGCCCGGCATGAATTTTAAGCCACCGGGTCCAGGAAGCGAACTGCGGTCGCCTACATGGGAGTCCAGCGACATAGCCATTACGCTAACTGCTGGTTCCCAAAAAGACAGTATTTCTTAAAACCTAATGCCAGTACAGATTATCTGAGGATCTTAGTAAACTGCAGATTCTGTCTCAGTAGGTCTGTGGTGAGACCAAGAGTCTCGTTCTGTAGCGTGCTGCCAGGATAGGCCCAGTGCACCTAATCTTTGCCTCATCCTTGCAGTCCTGGGTTCTAGGAGATCTGATCTGTGACCACTGTTCTGCCCTGCAGCTTCTACACCTGTGCCCTGAGGGTGTGGACTGCAGAAGCAGATCTGAGTTTGGAAGGACTCCACCACCTAATCCAATTATTGATCTGATATTTGTTGGGTCCTCTGTATAATATTTATGCCAGCGGTCATCACATTTTTTTGAAATATAAATGGACTCATATGTATGGTTCTGCATCATCTTTTTCTCAATTGAGAATGCCCTATTGAGACTCAAACTTTGAAATAAATCTTTTCAAAACTTTGATGATATTCCATTTGTACTACCACAGCATAATTCAATTAATATATTCCTTTTGTGAGCATTTAAATTTTTCTGCAGTTGTTTTACATTACAAGTCATGCTATATTCTAGTACATATTTTTTGTACATGTACAAATATGTTCATTGACTAGATTCCTGCGAGTGGATTTACAACAGGGTATGCATGTTTTAAATTTTGACAGATAACGGCCATGCACTGCTAAGACATGGTGCTGCAGGGCATGCACTGCTAAGACATGGGGCTCCACAGCTGGGACCACAGGGGAAATGGGTTCAGTTCCCAGTCCAACCCGAGATGGTGTGGTGGTGTATACATGTGACCTCAGAAACTCAGGGCAGGCCGAGGCAGGAGGATCACAACCTTGAGGCTGGCCTGTCATCATAGCAAGGCTCTCTTTTTCAGAGCAGGATGAGGTGGTATGAGCCTGTGGGCCCAGCTGGATGACTGAGGCCAGAGGACCACACATGGCCAAACACTGTCTTAAAAATTTAAAGTTCTAATACAAATTGTCCTCTGGGGAAGTTTTTAGCAATGTATACCAATAATGTATGAGGGTGCCCCTTTCTGGACTGGCACATTATCAGTTGTATATTTCTTCTTGTGAACAAACTTTCTGTATTTTCTTTTCTTTTCTTTTTATTTTTTTGAGAGGTTTTCCTATAGGGTGTGTGCGCTCACCAGAAAGAGAAAGACAAAGTGGGAAGCCACCCCCCAGGGGGGATGGCCACGCTGCAATCCCTTCTCCTCCATTCTCCTCAGGATCTTGGGCACACACACACACGTGCCTGGCATGAGTTTAAGCCACCAGTTCCGGGACTCAAACCACGGTCGACTACTTGGGAGTCCAGCAACATAGTCATTACGCTAACTGCCAGTCCCTACTTTCTTATTTTCATCATCATGTTTGTCTTTTTCATCTTGACTTCTTTCTCTGCATTCTGAACTCAAATCCTTTGTTGTATATGTAGCTGCTATTTCCTCCTGTGTGTCCTGCTTCCTAGTTTTGCCTCAGTTTTTTGATCCTTAAAATTTGAGTAACAATCGGACCAGCAGTTAGCATAATGGCTATGTCCATGGACTCCCATGTAGTTGACCACGGTTCAAGTCCTGAACCCAGTGGCTTAAACTCATGCCAGGCACGTGTGTGTGCATGTCCAAGATCTCAAGAGGAGAATGGAGGAGAAGGGATTGCGGCATGGCCATCCTTCCTGAAGGGGGATTTCTCGCTTTCGGTCTCTGTCTGTCTCTGTCTTCCTGGCGAGCGCATGCACCCTATAGCAAAAGAAAAAAAAAAAAAAACTCCAAAAAAATTGAGTAACAATATCTTGAAAAAGTTTAGTAATACTTAAGAACTGTTACATACTGAAGTATAAAGTGGGTAGCAGAGCGCTTGACATAATAGGTGTTCGTTATTTTGTTCTTCACTGATGCACGCGAACTTCCCTGTGATTATAACCCTCTACTCCTTCCCCTAGTTTGGTCCCTGAGACCTTATTGGCAGTATCTCTCTGTTCACCTCAGCCCTCATCATGGACTCACGTTCTTCCCGCTCGACTCTTCTTGGGTAGGTTGAGAACCCTCACTCATTACAGCCTCCTTTCCCAGACATCCTGGTTAGTGTCAGCTCTTCAGCCACTCCAGCGGTCTGTCACCACAGCAGGCTCCTCTTCCTTTGCTTTGAAAGGCTACAAATGGATTTTTTTAAATTTGCCTGAGGGCACATGTGCTCACCAGCCGAGAGAAGGTGAGAAAGCACCCCCATGGGGGATGGCCACACACAGTCCCTTCTCCTCCATTCTTCCTTTCAGAATTTTGGGCAAGGATGCACACACCCAGGTGTTGTTTATAAGCCCCTGGGCCTGAGACTCAAACCACGTGGGATCCAGCTGCCTTAACCACCACACCATTGGCTGGCCCAATAGATTTGCTTAAATCATTGCTTACTTAAATAATCTTTTAAAGCATATCTTTTAAAGATCTGCTCTAGGATATTAAAATGATCCTAATTAATTTGTACCTCACTTTTTACTTTTTTGAATTTATATATATATAATGTTATAGCACCATTTCAACTACAGTCTTTTTAATAAGTGTTTAGCATAATATTAAAAATCAAGATTTGGGAAAGGTTTTTAAAATATAAGTGGCTAAACTGTTAAAAGGTAGTGGGTTTCCAGGCGAATCTACTCAGCCGTTTTAAACTATGTTCAATCGTGGATTTTCTCACATCTCGTGTGTAGAGTGACTGCTGCTGGGCCATCGCTGCGGAGACTGTGAATGTGGACAGCTTGCAGAGTCAAGAAGCTCACAGTGTAATGCTATCAGGATAGAGGGAGAGACTAAATGTCTAACCTAGCAACTTAACCTAATACAAAACAGAAAATGAGTCCTTTACAGGTTAGGCCAAGTTCCGCTCCTCTCGGAGCTCAGATCCCCTTGAACATGATTACTTTCAGGGGTGGCTGATGAGAGCTGGGAGAGACTGATGGCAGAAAACACGAGGTGCCCTTGGTGTGCTGCAGAGGTGAGGATGTTCCCAGGAAGTAGTATTCAAAAAGAATATGGAGAGGGTAGGCCCCCACTTTGGTATTTATGGAATATTAGAACTCATATCTAGACACTAAAATGACTTCAAGCTTACTTTTACCAATTACATTATTAAAATCTGTTTTTTTCAAAGACAACTACCATATTATTAGAAAGTTTATTTAAAATTAATCGTGTTGACGCTTATGTTTGACTATTTTAAATGATCAGTTTTAAATATGTGTCCAGTTGTGGATGCCTCTTATCTGATGAGTTCATCTCCTCCGCAGTTTCGGTGTCTGAACTGCTCAGCTTCGCAAGTCTGCCCTCAGGATGGCGCTTTGTATCAGGTAAGAGGCACTCACGACTGTACATATGGCCACAGCGAGGCCCTGGCGGGTCACGCTCAGCCCAGACCAACTGCCTAAGACATGGAATTCGTAAAGTTAGGAGTTATCTGAGTTTAAGAAACAGAAATTTCATCTTTTCAACTTAATATACCTAAAGTTTCCCATTATTTTAGGGCTGCTGAATTATTTTATTTTACTAATCTAAAAATAAGATGATAAACATTAAGACCATTATTTGTGAGTCAGGAGTGTTTAAGAGCTTCAGCCATTGAGAAATCTCTGGTCCATATTGAATTGGGATGTTACCTTCTTTATTTAAGTGTTTTCTTTGAATGAATCATTCATCTACAAATGAAAGATGAAATGGCACTAAATAACAACAGCTAAGTCTAATTGTGAGATTCCTTGCTAGACCCTGCCCCCTAAGTACTTGGGTTAACTCTCTTAATGATGACATGATAGTGAACTAATTTAATAATGTGCTGAGAAACTTACATGTGTGGGGAAAGTCTCTCATAAAAATACATTTTAAAATTTTGGAAGACCAAGTATTTAGTATAGGAAGGGTTATTGTTGAATACAGAGATTATCCGTGATCAGCCTTAACATCATGGATTAATTATATATATAGCATTTGTTTTTTGTTGTTACTTTTTTTTATTGCCAGAGGGCATGTGCACTCACCAGAGAGAGAGAGAAACAGCATCCCCTAGTGAGAAATGGTCACACAACCATCCTTTTAATTCCTCCTTTCCATCAGAATTGTGGGGCATGCATGCACATGAGGGCATCTTGCTTTTCAAGCCACTAGAGTCTGGATTTGAACTGCAGTCAGTCATGTGGTATCTGGCTCCCTTAACCCCTGTGCTGTAGGACCAGCCTCATGGCATTTCGTAAAAACATTCATTGTTCTAGTACCAGCAGTTGGCGTAATGGCTATGTCTCTGGACTCCCATGTAGTCGACTGCAGTTCGAGTCTCAGACCCAGTGGCTTAAACTCACACCAGGCATGTGTGCGTGCATGTCCAAGATTCCAAGAGAAGAATGGAGGAGAAGGGATTGCGATGTGGCCATCCCCCTTGGGGGATGATTTCTCGCTTTCTGTCTCTCTGTCTGTCTCTGTCTTTCTGGCGAGCACATGCACCCTATAGCAAAAACCTCTTCCCCCCCCAAAAAAAAAAAAAAATGAAATAAAGAAAAGTATTCATTGTTCTTTTATCACAGTATTTCAGGTAGTCTTTTAGCCTATTTCTCTGGAGCCCAGAAAGGGAATTATAATTAATAACAGACTTAACTAGTAAACCTGACTCTAGAGTTTCACATTGGGTTTGTGAAATGTATGTGTGTTAAGTATTGAAAGAACCACTAACCAAATCATTAATCAAATATTCTTAATTAGCAGTTATTTTAGGATGCTCCTCAATCCTTTGTCAATGCTCTGATATGGGAATCCCCATGCTTCATTAAGAAATATGCTTTTTGGTTCACACAGTTTAAGTCCTAGTTTTATAGCAATGGAGTAATCAAATTTAACACTGTAAGGCTAAGAGAAAATCATATAGGGAGAAACAAATCCTCCTCCTCTTCACATTACCCAGAGAAAGGTGGGGGGGAGGCACGAATAAATAATTTACTCGAGCTGGTGAGATTTGTACGTATCTGAAGCGCATCAGTGTTTGAACGGCTTTTAGCTTCCTGTTTGGCTTTGGGATTGTGAACTGTAGTGATACGCCTTGTCTGCAGCTACTGCCCATACACAGCTTCTTGCTTTTACTCTTGGTGTTGATGTATGTTTCCTTAGAAATGATATTCTTAAACCCTGATCTAAAGTTTTAGAGAACACTGGAATAAGAGAAAATGTCAAATGTATACAAATTTCCTTTTCTTTCTTCAACACTGCATTATAGTCCTTTAAGATCATTGAACTTGTAGTATATAGGATACATCTTTAGAAAAGTCAGTTTAAAAAATATCTAGGAGCGGGAACCAGCAGTTAGCATAATGGCTATGTCGCTGGACTCCCATGTAGTCGACCGCGGTTCGTGTCCCAGACCCGGTGGCTTAAAACTCATGCCGGGCGCGTGTGCGTGCGTGCCCAAGATCCCGAGAGGAGAATGGAGGAGAAGGGATTGCGGCGTGACCATCCCCCCTGGGGGGTGATTTCTCGCTTTCTGTCTCTATGTCTCTCTCTGTCTGTCTGGCGAGCGCACGCGCCCTAGAGTGAAAATCTCTCTCAAAAAAAAAAAATATCTAGGAGGGCCAGCTGATGGTGTGGCCAGGGTGACTAGATCCCACATGGCCAACTCCGCAGTTCAAGTCCCTGACCTGGTGGCTTGAAATGCATGCCGGGCGTGTTTGCATTAAGTCAAAAATCCCAAAAGAAGGCATTGTGGCTTGTCCATCCCCCAAGGGGGGTGCTTTCTCACTTTTTCTCTCTGCCCTCCCAATCCCATGAGCACACCCACCCTCTGGCAAAATTAAAAACAAAAACGAAAAAAATATGACTTTTTCATTATAAGAATATGTAGATAGGTTTATATTATTTAGGAATAATGCAGAGGAATTTATCCAAGAAGAAAGAAAAGTTTATCCAAGAAGAAAGAAAACTTAAACCATCAATTCATGAAAGGCATAAAAAATTATTAAAGAATTAACTTCCTCAAAGGATTCCTAAATGATTTTATGTTCTCTCAATTTTAAAGGAGTAGATTATTTCTTTGCAATATATATTGTTTTAAATAGTTGAAAAAGAATTATTTCCATTTCATTTCACAAAAATAACATAACCATGCTAGCAAAAACTGACAGAAAGCTAGTCTCAAACTTCATTTTGAATATAAATACAAAGATGATAAAAAATACAGCAGATGTGTAAAATGATATACTGAAAGACTAGCAAACCAAGATCTAATAGTATTTTTATTTAAAATACAAGAATGGGGGGCCAGGGAACCAGCAGTTAGCATAATGGCTATGTCGCTGGACTCCCACGTAGTCAACCGCAGTTCGCGTCCCGGACCTGGTGGCTTAAAACTCACACCGGGCACATGTGCGTGCATACCCAAGATCCCAAGAGGAGAATGGAGGAGAAGGGATTGCGGCGTGACCATCCCCGCTGGGGGGGTGATTTCTCGCTTTCTGTCTCTATGTCTCTCTCTGTCTGTCTGGTGAGCACACGCACCCTATAGCGAAAACCTCTCCAAAAAAAAAAAAAAAAGAATGGGCCTACAGTTAGCGTCATGGCTATGTCACTGGACTCCCACGTAGTCGACCGCAGTTCGAGTCTTGAACCCGGTGGCTTAAACTCACGCCGGGCACGTGTGCGTGCGTGGCCAAGATCCCAAGAGGAGAATGGAGGAGAAGGGATTGCGGTGTGGCCATCCCCCCTGGGTGGTGATTTCTCGCTTTCTGTCTCTCTGTCTCTCTCTGTCTGTCTGGCGAGCGCACGCATCCTGTAGCAAAAACCTCTCCAAAAACAATACAAGAATGGCTTAATTTGGTTAGGGGGGATTGAGAGGATTGATTTTATATATTTTATATATATTTTATATATATATAATATATATAAAACCTATATATTATTTATATATATGTGTCATATTTTATACACACAAAGTAAAAATAAAATTGTCCACAGATGCTGAAAAAGCATTGATAAAATTCAGTTTAAGTCCTAATTTTTCCTACCAAAGCAACAAAAATATTTAAATAATTAAATGACTAGAGGATATAGAAACATAGAAAATGGTTATAAATATCGGATATTTATATCAGATATAAATATCAGTGGGAAGAGGGTGGGTAAAGGAGGAAAATCTGAGGAAAGACATTAAGGAGAAAAATAGAGAGGCAAAGCATTTATGGGACAAAGAAATGGGTTATTATCTATTGAAGATAATGTGTATAGTGTTCTCAACTGGTCTGGTGAGAAGTGTATACTTGTTGGAATATTCACTTTGTAAGCTAAGTGGCATATGTGATTGAATGTACAAAAGAAATTAAAATTTGAAAAAAAAAATATATACATATAAAAGTAATGTTCTTTATCTTGATTCACCAGTTAAGATTCTACCACATTTTCTCCTTCTCTTCCCCATCCTATTGTCTTCTCCTATAAGCCCTTTATAGGTAGGCAGGTAGGTAGGCAGAGTTTTTGTGGAACCATTTGAGAGTAAATCAGGATAATTGACCACTAAACATTTCAGCATTTATAGCAACAAAGACCTTCTCATATATTTCCAAAACTCCATTTCATACACAAGAAATTTTACAAGTATATTAATTATAGAGATATCCATTCTCCTGTAATTAAATTATGAACTTATTCATAATTCCAAATACACATTTACCAGATTTTTGTTTAATTCAACAAAGTCATCATTCTAAAGTCCGTCAGGAAATAAAATCAGATGTTTTTGGTCACCCATATTTTTCAAACAAGTAATGAGGGGGGCATATGCACTACCATGTACTAAAATGTGTTTTAAATCGAAAGATTAAAATAGGGCAGTAACATGAACAGAGACATGTGTAAAAGGGATAGCTCAGGGCCCAGCACACTGGTGCAGGGCTTGGTGCACTGCTCTACCATGCCGGAGCCACATGACAGACCAGGGAACAGAGCCCAGGCTGACTGGAAACACAGGGGCCATGTGCCTCTGTGATCCTGGCCGGCCAGAGGGCATGGGGTGTATTGTGGTGTAAGACCTCGCCAGGGATACCAGCGTGTGCCTGTCTGTCTGTCTCGCTCTTCTTCGTGAAAGAAATTGAAAAAATCAACTTACAAAGGATAGCTCAGTAATCGACTCTAGTATGTACCAATCTATACAGAGAGCATTTCAAATGAATGGGGAAAAGCAATTTGTTTAACAACATCTGTGGTGCACTTAGTATGCACTGACTGCTCTTTAGGCCTGCGGTATGCGGAAGTAAAAATGAGCACAAAAGCTTTCTCTCATGGCACTCACACTGTAGTGACAGTAATAGGTGGAAAATAAGTACATGTTGCAGTGTTACAAGAAAAATTAAAGTAGATAAACAGTACTTTTGATAAGGTAGCCAAGGGAAAGCCTCTTTGAGGTGGCAAGTTTTGATGGAAAGGAAGCAGGCAGGTAGCCCTGTAGCTTTCTGGTCTAGAGCACTGCAGGCAGAGGGGACTCTGTGCAAAGACTCTGCTATGTGATTGGGTGTGGCCATTTGCGAATCTCAAGGCCAGTAGGGCTGGAGCAGAGACAGCACAGGCTCCTCCCGTCCTGGGAATAGTGCCCTCCCGAGGTAGAGGCTGCGGGACCTGCAGGGCTTGTGTTAGGTTCATTCTGCTGAGACTGCTGTGGTAAGGAGAGGGACTTGATTCATACCTCACGTTACACACTGTTGTACACTTCTAATGCTTAAAAGTGGTAAATATGTTAAATAATCCCGCAAAAGACTAAGAAAATACAGTTGAATACCAAATTAATCTCATAGTGGGAGTGACTTTTCACATTATACCTGCTTAAAAAAAATTGAGTTGACTATCAATATTGAAAAGTATTTGGCAGAAATCTCATAACTAAGGAAACAGTTACAATATTAGAGAAAGGATTAATGTCCTTAATCCATTAAAGAATCCTTCCAAATCTATAAGAAAATGCCTAACTTTAGAAGAATAAACAGAGGGAACGATCAACCAATTTACAAAAGAAGCAAACACTATTGACTAATAAGCATATAAAATGATTAACTTATTTACAAGAAATGAAAAATTTTTATACTTATTAAATTACCAAATTAAGAGGGAGAAAATAATCGTAGTCATTACTGATGAGGCTGTCAGTAGTAGGCATTCATATTTCTTTCAGAAATGTAAAAACAGAACAACTTTCCTGAAGACCAGTGTAACACTATTGGAAAGCTTTTAAAATATGTACACCGTTTGAACCTGCACTTCCACTCCTGTGAACCTACGCTGAGAGGAAAGAAAGAGATCAGTGGGTCAAGATTAATTTACAGTAGAAAAATAAATAAATAAATAAATAAACTCAAATGCATAGTAACACGAAACTGACGGGCAACTTGTGGTCCATTTCTGTAACAGCATAATATGCGGCTATCGTAAATGACCTTGTGTAGATCTTGTCAGCCTTTTGGCTAAGATCAAGTGTAAAAAAAAAATCATCATGTGGGAATGTACTAAATGGTAGAGAAGTATGTTTATAAGATTTTCAAATACACAGAAATTGGCAGTGGACAAAATTATTTACCAGACAGGATGTTTAGCATGATTTCAGATTTTTCTTTAATGATTTCTAGTTTATATATATTCGGTGTACATCTTTATGGAGTGTGGTATAGTTATTCACATACCTACATTATATACTGATCAAGTCAGGATACTCTCATACTCATCGTCAACACTGACCATTACATTATGCATGCTTTTGTTTTAACTACCAGAGGGTACCTTTGCTTACCAGAGAGAGACAGAGAAATGAAAGCACCCTCCAGTGGAGGTGGGGTGACACAGTCATGCCATAATCTCTTTTCCTCCATTTCTCTATTATGTTGGGATTTGGAGTATATGTGTACACACACCCATCATATTTTTCAAGCCTCCAGGGCCAGGACTCCAACGATGGTCAGCCATGTGGAATTCAGATGCCTTAACCACTAGGCTACAGGGTCAGCCATGGGATGTGCATTTGATAGTAGTTTTACTAGTGTTTTTTATTTTTAGATGTATTGAGTTGGCATATTTTTTGCTCTGCTGTGCTACACAGTTATTTCAGTTTTGAAAAATTGTAGATAAAAAGATTAGAAAGATATATACCAAAATTGTTATGGTAGTTACCTTTGGGTGTTAGGGTTTAAATATTTTTTCTTTTTTTCTTCTTGGTGCTTTTCTGTTCTTTCCAAATTTACAATAAACAAGTTATTTTTATAATAAAAATAAATAATTTATTATTTCATGAATACAAATACACCAACAATAGTTTTATCACTTTCTAAAAGTATCCCATTTGAAATGTGTACATTGGAAGTATCCTTTATATTTATTACGCAATGAGATCTAAAGACTGGAAGCTCTGTGAAATGAGGGTTCATTCAGTGAAATCACCGAACACTGAGAGACGATATGCCCTATTTCATTGTAGTAAGTGGGTGCCATTTTACTTCAAGCAAACCAACACAGAAATTGAACGTAAAAGCATGTTTTAGCAGTTTTCAGTGTTGACACATTTTAGTGAAGTTGTTAAACTTCATATGGTTGTAGAACAAACATGGCCACGTGGAGGAGAAAACTCTTCTTTCTAGCACTGTGAGGGGGCTGAGTGTGTGACATCTTTTTTATAGACAGCAACTCAATGGACATCATGAGCCATTCACTCCCATTATGTAATAGCCAAAGCAGGAGCGTAGTAGGGTCAGTTGACTATTGGAAGGCAGTAACCTCAGTATTTCATGTAGCAACTAGCTACTTTTTTAAACATTTTTTTTTCTTTTTTTGGAGAGGTTTTTGCTATAGGGCATGTGCGCTCGCCAGAAAGACAGAGAGATAGAAAGCGAGAAATCACCCCTCAGGGGGGATGGCCACGCCGCAATCCCTTCTCCTCCATTCTCCTCTCAGGATCTTGGGCACGCACGCACACAAGCCTGGCATGAGTTTAAACCACCGGGTCCAGGACTAGAACCATGGTCGACTACGTGGGAGTCCAGCAACATAGCCATTACGCTAACTGCTGGTCCCCCTTTAAACACTATTTTTAAAGGACCATTAAAATTTTTGAATGTTAAAAAGAAAAAGTGTCAAACTTGTAAAAATAAATAGTGACTTGTGAAGACTACTCTAATTGCACAGATTCACAGCAGGAGATCTCTTGTTAACTTGTGACTCCAAAAGTTCCTACCAGCAGCAACTCCCTTGGGATCCAGCCTTGCCCAACCCCGCAGGGTACTGGTTGAATGCCTGGAGGCAGGACAGAATGGCTATCAGTCTTCTGCTGGTCCTGCCCTCCCAGAGTGCTGGTCACATATTGATGTCTGCAGGTCTTTGAACTTGACTTCATTTGCATTGAAAATTTGGTCTAGAAAAGTAATAGCTATCAAAATAAATAGAGTTGTAATGGTAACTTAAACTCAACTGTTGTAATCACTGGTACTAGAAAAACATTTTTTAATTGATACATAAACAATATTGTTTTCATATAAATAGTCTTACTCATTATCTCTTTTTTTTTTATAGTCATACCCTATGGTATTGCAGTATCGACCAAGAATTGATTTCGGTTAGACCAAGGGGCCTGAATCTCACTGAGATGCATCCTGCACTATTTGTTTACTCGTCGACAGATTGCACAATGAATGGTGTGTGGACTAGAGGGACACAACCAGATTTTCAGCATGCAATTAAGGCCATTGTCTTTCTCTGAACTGTTAGTTGCATTCATGTTTCTGATAGGAGCAAACCAAGTGCCATTCTGCTGCTGAACTATCTGCGTAGGGATCTGTGCTGTCTCACAGCGTGCAAGGCATGGTGGGGTCAGTCAGGTGTGCAACCATGGTTCAGCCTCCGGAATATTTGCTTGCCTGTTCCAAGACTGTTTTCATGTTTAATTACACTAGGAAATGGCTCAATCTCTGTGGTGTTGCAGTTTTCACATACTTACTGTTTTATTCTTGTTTAAATAGAGTACTGTACAAGAAGCTAATTATTCTATCTTGCAATTCTTTTGTATGGAAATATATTTAGAAAAGTGGTCTTTGAGCCACTGTCCAGTTCTTGGTAAGCTTTTTGTGTAAAGATTAGTTCATTCTTGAGTGTGCAAGTCCTTTTGCAAAAACTTCCAATTATTCTTTAACCTTAGAGCACAGTGTAACTGTAGACTTTCTAAGCATCTGTCTGTGTAGTCTACCAATTGCACAAGGAAGGCATGTTCGCCCTCCAGATGGAAATGTTTGTGACTTCTTGGACAACTGAAGTTAGATTCACAACCATTCAAAATGTTGGCAGCTGATCACATTTACTTCTAATAAAATTAATGTGTGAGTAGGGTGAATCTTCTTTCATAATGCCTTATGACAAGCAGGTGCTGCTTCATGAAACTTCATTGTATAGCCTGTTCTATGGATGTATCATTACACTGTTGCTGTCATTTAATGAGTGCATTGTTTCTCTTTTTAAGTTGGCCTTAGATGTGTGTCACTGTGGCATGCAGAGGGTTATGATGATTTTAAGTATTAAGATTTTTAGAGCAGATAACTTTGCTATTTTATGGAATTAAGAAGTCTCAAACAGTTGTAGGTTAAAACTGTTAGTTATCTATCATATTTCCCAACCATATGCGTAAGAGAGGATAAATATAGTACAGTAAGTAAATGTGCTAACCAGAATTAATAGTCTGAGGGTATTTTATTTTAAATTCTATAGTAATCCAAGGAAATGGGATTACCATCTTCTACGTAAATTCATTACGGTCAGATAGTAATAATAATCATTATTGAGAATGTCCTTGATTTTGCAGTTTTGTTAAGTCTTCCATTCATTTGGGGTTAGTCTGTACATCAAAGAAAATCTTGTTACCTTAAGTTAATGATCAACTTTATTTTAAACTTTTTCAGATTTCCAGCTGTTTGCAAAAACCTCTTTGGAAAATGTTTAATTAATTGCTTTAAAACAAATTAGTCTTTGAAACTTACGGAAAAAATCTTCAAATTGGGAAGAATATTAGTTTTAGAACTCTGACATGAGCACGATCTGTGTGTTACTACACAGTTTTCATGCTGTACACATGAAAGACAGGCTGAGTCTTCCAGTAAAACGTACCACAATGAATGCCTTCCGACTTCCAGAATTCGCCTTAGAAATAAAACATTGTACAACTCGAAGAAACATACAAACCAAAATCCAAACTGGATGCATTTCTTAATGCAAAAGACTAAAACTTCATACATACTTTTTCTTTCTTTTTTAAGTCAAAAAGTTCATATTAAAGTTTTTTGTAATTCTGACTTTTCTGAAAAAGATTGTGGCAATACTCTCTTCACTTCATTTTGTTAAGGTGTTGGAAGGGCTCAGAAGCAGAATTTCAAAGGCAGATTTTCATTCATTCTTTAAATGGTTGGAAAAGATAATAACATTCAAGCAAAAACTGAATTTACTTTCTGGCTACAGAAATAATTTTGCTATTCTGTGTAACCGATTCCCAAATATCTTTGAGACATTTTTTAATTGCTATAAATTTGTCACATCTAGGTCAGTGATTAGTTTTACATATGGAAGTTATTTTTAATTAACTCAAAATGAACTGAGTGTGTTTTAAAAACCACAAATAAGACTTGGACGTTTGGGTTCCTCAGCCAACACGTGTGGCCATAACTGGATTTAATACACGAGATCTCTTGAAAGTCGGCCTGTTGCCTGATTGTATGGAATTTCACTATTTCCAGGGAAATGCAGAGCAGGCAGTTATGGAATTGAGAAGAGTTTTATGTAAAATTCTTTATTTAATGTTAATATATTAACATTTTTATTGTCATGGAATGGAATATGTGCAACAACACAGAGAATCTGCATAAAGGGCATCAGTTGTCACTCGGGCAAAAGCACACGCCTTTTGTTGGTCTCAAGTGAAACAGTATTGCTGTGAGAGCCACAGACTTCTCCCAACCCCTCTGGTATGTTCTCAACTATGATTTCCCAAGTATGGGACTTCTTCATGCCTAGTAATACACTAAATCCCTAATTATTCCCCAAATCAGTTGTAAACTTTGCAAGAAACCAGGTATAGAAAAAAGGTACAGGCAACTTTTGTGGTTAGCTTTATAAATTTAGGGTGCTAATAAACTCTTTATATAAATCACCTCTAGGAATAGTCATCATCTGAATCTGTAAAATCAGAGACTAAATAAACCTAAGCTAAGTTTTTCTTTATCTGTCATTTCTTAAGCAATAAAACTGAAAGAACTTTACTTCCATAAAAGATTTACTATCTGTTTCATCTGCCTTGGAAATCAGGTATAGAAGGATCAAGGAGCCTCGTGTGTCAAGGATGGCTGTGGTTTAGGAACCTTACTGTAATGAAGAAATCCCATCAGTAACAGAGAAATCAAAATACGGTCTTTTCTCTAGATTAATAAGACATTTTTAAGAAGTATGAAAAAATATGCTCAACAGCACAGTGATGAGGTAATAATATTCAGGCTTGGGTATGAATAATTTGGGTAGTGACTTCTAATTACTTTTAGGAAAGTAGATTTGTTTCCTTACCCATTGAACATACTAATATGCTACATTTAACACGTGTAAAATTTGTAAGTTTGAGTTTGCTCACTTCATTATACACTCAAATGTAATCTAAATTTAAACTGATTCTTTAGGGAAAG